ACTACACTAATCACACTTACAACCAAATCAAATCAACCCGAAATTAAACCGAATAAACCGGTTTCTATTATCTTTTTAGTAAATTTTGGAATATTTAATTGGTGGGCCCAATGTTTTCCATATTAATTTGGTCATATTTAATTGGAGTAATTTTTTACTAAAATCAAAAAAAAAATAACGTTGTCTTTCGAACCGGAGAAATCACAGATGTACATGAGAATCTGTAGCGAATTTAAAGTTAGTTACGATGGATCACGTGACAACTCCACGTGTTCGTCGTGAACCCACCGGCAAGTTATGATCACACACGATAACCAAACTTGAAAATTAATAAACCGGATTTTATGCCTAATTAATTTGTCTTTTTTGATTGGACCATTGATAAAAACTCCTCATATTTAGCTTAACTAATATGCCCATGTGATGTGACGCAATAATTAAATTAAGCTATCACTTAAATTAGTTAGTGTGGATATAATTCGTTTTGTCAGACACTGGTGGCATTACAAGTAAAGTCAAATGTCTTTTTTTTTATTATGTAACTACAAATAGTCAATTGTCTTTAAATATAATTATACAATTTTATGAAGAAATTAAGGAGAACATTTCGGATAGGAACTCTTTATCTGTCTTCTTTTGGCTATGTTTATCCCATATTTGGAACGCAAATGTCCTAATCGTGTAATAAAAGAAAATTTAAACAAGGCATTAGAAAGAAAAAAATATCGTTTATGTTGGCCTCACAGCCAATCACTATCTGACGCGAAGAGGCTCTCTTACTATCCTTTTAATTATAAATGTCTTTTAATTAATAAAAAAGTTATGGACAGAGACTTATACATATTCCATGTTAATAAATAGCTTTATTTTCATAGGGGAATCGAACTACCGTGCCTTAGATAGACACAACATCTATGTGAGACACTAATTAATCAAAGTTAAAACCACTAATTGAATGATCTTTACTGTTTTCAAAATTCGTAAAATATTACTCCTACCAAAGAGGAAGAATTACTCAGTTTTTGTCAAATTTCATTCGTTTCTCCATGTTTCGTGTTATTTTTTTCTATGACATTTTTTATTTTATTTGTTGGTTAAGATATTATTTTCTTACTATTAAACATTGTTTATTAAGATGGCGTGTAGTTTATACATTATCCATACTATTTATTAAAATCAGTCGTTAAAAAAAATTTGCCATCCATTTTCTCTTTTTCATAAACTAAAGTTAAGCTATGATTTAAAAATTAACTTGTAAACTCTCGCAACCGCAATAGTATTCTCATTTATTGCTTTACCCCAGTTAAACACCATTTAAACACTAATTAAAATTATATTATCACTCAAGAACTTCCTCTGCTCCATTATATAACTATTTTAATATTATTTTTTGCTTTGTTTTACATTAAAAACACCATTAAATATCTAACTAAAAACAAATCAACTTATAAAAAAAATAGAAATGGTTATAATACATTAAATTTGGGGTTATTTGCAATAATAACCAAAAAAAAACTATAATTAGAAATTTAGAAAAACTTTAGAGGGAGATAAGAAGAGATAGTAAGAGAAAAATAGGGATTTTGGTTGGTTTGTATATTATAGTTTTTTTGTTAAATTTCTAGCAAATAATCCCTTAAATTTGCATAAAAATTTGAAAAAATCGAATAAAAAACAAAATAACTCTATAACATCTTATATAATAGAACAGAAGAAGTAGTATATGGCACGGAAAAGTAACATAATCGACAATAATTAGATACCTACATAAATAACTCATAAACCAAATGGGCTACATGAGAATTTAGAGCACTCTCAATAGTGGGTATCTCACATGGAATTTTATCTTTAACTAAATATTTTTAATAATATTTAATGAATGGAGATCTCGAATAGTGGAGAAACTCACACATAGGGTTCTAAATGAAGAAACTTTTGGGTGTGTTTATCAACTATTTGACATACTCACTCATAAAAATATTATTAAAAAATTTTGGTCAAAATTAAGATACTTAGAGCATAATCAATGGTAATTGTTAAGTGGTTTTTAATGGATTTTTAAAAAAATTAAAAACAATTAAATAATACACAAAACACTTAAGAACTCAAATAAAAAATCTTAATTTAAGAGCTTTAGAACTCTAAAATGTGGGATCCTAATTGATACAATACAATTTATAATAAAAAAAATCACTTAACACTTCAACTTAATCCTCCAACTTAATCCCAACTTAACAACTACTATTGATTATGTTCTTACCATCGAAAATGCTCATTTGGAACTGTATCAATTTTAGCTACGGCCCAAAACTAATCCCACAATTAACTCCACACGTGTTTTTTTGTCCTCTTCTGCTTTGTATAGAAAATGCTCATTAGAGCATGTACATTGGGGTGCTCTCAAGTGTGTTTTTAAAATATAAAATTATTAAAATTTGAGTAAAAGAAAGAAAGAGAATATTTTTGCAGGGTGTATTGAATATAAAATTAATAAAATTTGAGTAAAGAGAGAAGATAGTGGGTGTGTTTAAATATAAAATTAAGAAAAGTTGAGTAAAAAGAAAATAAAGTGTTCTTAAAGTAGTACTTTTAGATAGTGTTCTCAAAATGAAATGAGAGTGTTTAAATATAAAATTAATAAAAGTTGAGTAAAAANATGAAAGAGAAGGTATAAAGTTGAGTAAAAGGAAGAGAGAGTGTGTGTTTTAATAATTTTATATTTTAAGAACACACTTGAGAACACCCCAATGAACATGCTCTTATGTCTTTCATAAGCAAACCAGTCCAAGCCGAAACCAAGAGGAGATATTTTTCTGAACCAAATTCGAACCCTAAACCGGAAAATCACGTGGCCAAATATCATTCGTTGAGGCTACTCTAGTGCATTTGTTCATGTCGCTCTTGGGACGCATTACATCACTTATCATCACACTCTTTCAACCACCAAAGGTAGTTCATCTATTTGGTCTAAACTTATGATGTTTTTGTTTATCTAATCGTTAACGTATTTAGCTTTTCCAATAATAGTAGTAAACACACGAACTCTCGTGACACAATCATATGATTTAAATCTGCTTTGAATTACGTCTACCCTTATTAAAATATAGTAGATCAAATTGAACAACAAATATATTCGTCGAAAATAAGTCGAAAGATTATCGACGGATATAGTCTGTTGGAAATTCCGTCTGATTTTGCTCTATTTTTTTGTAGTGCTAATCCAACCTATTTACAAATCAAAACCATGCATATTTTAATATATATTTATTTTTTGTTAACTAGGAGAATCTCATGCCGAAGTCCAAACTAATTTTGTGAAACCTATGAAAATCTTATATCCTCACATTTGTTTGTAAGTAACAAGTTTAGAACACATAAAATTAGCCCCATATATATCTGGAAAGTAGCCTTTTAACTTTATTAACAAAAAATGTACAAGACACTTGGTATTTTTTTGGATAAACAGAGGTTGAATACGATATGATAGTAAAACTTACAGAAATGAAGATTCA